TCGGACACTTATCATTCAAGAGAGAGTTCGGTTATCATCTCTTTCGTTTTCTTTCGATTGCCTAAGTTTGTTTTGTCAACCTTTACCGGTGTTTTTGCGTGATTTACTCCACTGTATCTCGTGCAAAACGCGGAAAAGTAACCCAAGAGTGTGCATAAAGTCAATTTTGACTTGGTTTGATTGTAAACTACATTGAGACCCTGCTACAACGAGAAGAAGTACCAAAATAGTGAAATGAAACGGTATCTAAAAGTGGAACAGAAGCTAAAGAGACTAGTTTCGCATGGCTAAACTTGAAGAAACACAGGGCCATGTTCATAAAACAAGCTCATCCCTCCACCCTGAGGGGGTATCTTTTTCGGTAGTTTGAGTAGTTTTAGTGTAGCCATGTTCGGCACACATTTTCAACCTTAAAAGTAAGCATTAGATGATACAAACAGAGATTTCATGTGGGTAATGGAGGATTTGGTTAAATTTCAAATGGGAATTCGTCGTGTATATAGTAAATCAAGCGTGAACTAAAAAGTTCGAAAGCACTGGGTAGCTGTTTCGACCTGGTTGGGTTTCATCAGCAGCGCGAATCCATCAATTCCACTGGGGATCGAACCCGTGACTTCATGGGCAGAACGCAGAAAATGAAAAACCGTCTGATCAGCTGCCCGGTGACCGAGTGGGTAGCACGCTTGCGTTCTGCCTATGAAGTCCCGGGTTCGATCCCCAGTCGGGTCGATGGATTCGCACTGCTGATGAGACCCAACCAGATCGAAACAGCTGTCCAGCTTCCGAGCTTTTCAGTTCACGCTTCATTTACTGTATATACACGACGAATTCCCATTTACAAACAGAGATTCTCCGGGGGATAACATATGTACTAAAATAAGTGAATAACTCCTTCCAGTATTTGCAGAAACCTGTTGAAAAATTTTCCAACAGAAGTGATGAATGTGTTCCAATTCATAGCACATTGACGACAAACGGTAACGCAGGGAACACGACATGGTACACACATTTTCCTCTCAGGGTTGTTAAGTTCGCTGCTACAAGCTTTTCTGTGCTGAAAGAGAGTTGTTTTACGACTAAAAAAAATCTGTTCGTAGTTCCGTGACGTGAAAAGGCAAATTTACTTTTGAAGGAGGTTTGGGGCGTTTGATGGGAAACCCGACCGTTTCTGACAAAATACAGTTCTGCAGCACAAACTCACCACACAAGTCGTATACTTCCTCCGGATGTTGTAATCGTAGCAGAACTTCCAACCACAGCAACACGACACGACGAGACAGAGTCACATCTGTGGATGGGGTTAGTTCGATCCCGGATACGGCCTGAAAACACGGTGTCTCTGGACCGAGCGAACCGGTCTCACGACTGATCCCCAGACAGTTTGCCAAAATACGCTCAGCCTTACAATACTGTCGTTGGTAAAACAAGACGAGCGCAAAGTTGTACTGTAACACAATACCCAGCATGGATTGTGGCAGAGTAGACTTAGATAAACCTGATGTGGACGGGGATACGGCGGCAGCGTCCGAATCACTGGTATCTAATCCAGTTCCGCTAGATTTTCCCGTTTCATCCAGACCGGTAGAGCTCGAACATGTGAGTGGAATGTTCTCGATTGACGCGATGCGTTTCAGTTCACTTACATAGTCATCGGCGTGTGTGAAATTGTGTTTGTGTACAAAATCCAGTAACGCCTTGTTCATAATGACCTGGGATCGGAAACGGAGAAAAATATTGGTCATCCAAGTATTTTAATCTAGTTACTGATTTATGTGTGAGAGAGAGAGCGACAGGCAAAAATAGCGATTTTGTGGCTAAACGATACTTGTTATTTAATTTTTAGCCTAATGAATAAGTTAAATTTATTTTAATCTCTCAACTCGGGATCCTAGCCCTGTTGAGTTCGACAGAGAGTTCAGAGAAAAGAATTCTTATTCACCTTTGTGGGGTCTGTCGGATATAGAGAGCGAGCAAAACTATAAAAACACTCAACATATTTACTGGGGTTCAGGTTTAGCCCCGACAAGAAGAATGACTAAATTTGACCAAGATTGTCGGTGAAGGGGCTTAGATCGGAGTCAGAAGAAATGGGGTGACACAGCACATCACCTGCATATTTCGAAACACAAGGAATATCACAAATTTATGTGGAAAACAAGTATAGGGATAGCACAGCTCCTTGGGGAACTGCGGAGTTGTTGACTAAGTGCTTAGATGAAGCGTTCCCAAGTCTAGTGGTTTGTTCTCCTTTGGTAGAACAGGTGAATGGCCAAGCTAACAATTGCTTGTTTTGATCAACATTTGAGTGACTTGCTTGATTAGCTATCAGTGCTCACTGACTCCGTCGACTAGTGGCTGAGCTAGAAGGTGATGAGGAAGAGTTCCGCCTTAAAGGCCAATTTGAAGTTGTCACCTACATTGTGATGTGGACATGTGTCTGGTTGTTTATCAGGTTTAGGCAGAAGTTGGCCGGTGACAGAGCGTGATCTGTATCCACGGGTGTTGATCATTGAGCATGGTAAATTCGGATAAATCATCGTCAACCGTAGCTGACGGCTATGTGAACGATTTGAATCTCTCTCAGAAGAGCAAGAGTGGTTTTAAGGTGGGGGCGGTGTCGTTTTCTGCGGTGCTTGATAGGAACAATTAGTGTTCCGCTAAAGTTTAAACATGCGCTCTCCGTTGCCCCCACCCCCACCCCAAACCCGGAGTTGTATATAGAGTGCTTATGCGCCTTTCTAATTTATTCAAGGATCACACCTGAGCATCGAAGTAGACAGCGACTACTATAAAGTCCGCTGAGCGAATACTCTGGAGCAGTCCAGAGAAACTATTGTAGAAATAATCGTTTATCTCAGATACACTACAATCACTGCAATTGTTGTAGCAAAGACAGCATAAGTCGTTATCATGGAAATGGGATTCGAATATGATAATATGGAAGTGCAAAAGAATCGGTCTGTTCATCAAAAATAACAGTAAAAAAACGTATATGAACTTTCGCCACTCTCAGGAAGACCGTATTGAAAACTCCCGAACGTGATTTATTTGTGAGTGTACATCCAAAAACATTAGCTAAAGTATTTGATGAATTTCCAATGCCGTCCACGGAAAATACAAGCAGGCGGTAAAATACGTTATGCAATGCGAGTGCGGTCACCACCTACCTTCGGGTCGTTCGGTTTCAACTCTAACAGTTGCTTTGTCACGGAGCCGCATTTTTCATATTGCTTAGAGGTGAAGTAAAAAGCGGCCTCGGCGGATAAGGTAGTCTCATCCGAACCACTCGGGGACGAATCCGATTTGGAAAGATCCGTCGACATGAGGTGGCTGAAATAAAAAAATACCAATAACGATACGATATGGCAGACTGGGATAGAAATGGGCTAAACAAAAGCTTTCGGTAACGAGTTTGCGAAAGCTAATGGAGGAAATCTGAATGATGCTTGTTGTGGAACTAGTTTTTTTACGTACTCCTTTTTTAATAACTACCAGCATGGATTCCTTCGCAATAAATATGCTGTCGATACTTTCATTTTTTACAACCATTAACCATGCACTTTTGTCCGCCGGTTTTGGTTGCTGTCTTTTGGCCACCCGCTTGGATAAAAGAGTACAATGAAGACTTTTCAGTTCAGTTTGAACAACCGCTAACCACGCATATTCGTGAGCCGGTTTTGGTTGCTGTCTTTTGGCTGCCCATTTCGATGAAGAATAGGAGAAGAAAAGAAACCTGAAAGCGGAGTCGAAAAGAAAATGGAGAAGTTCAGTAGTCAAACTTGCAAAGAGACTGAGAAGATGCAGGAACGTCACTGGTTGCGACACCCAGCCATATCACTCAGTGTAGCTAACCATCG